TTGGACAGAGCCTTCTGTAGCAAGATCAGGAAGGTGAGACAGAGGCTGTGTTTTTCTGAAGCTGATGTTGGTGACATTATTAGGTGGTTATATAATTTAATGTTAAGTAGTGGAAACAATCCTCTTATTTGCCTCAGTGGTGGGGAAAACATTATTGGGAAATGTAGAAGGCAGGAGTAATTAGATTAAAGTAGATCAAATAAAGGAGCCCTATCTCATTTAGCATTTTTGCCTAGAAGAGGAGTGGGCAATTGGAGTAAAGTTTTGGCTGTACAAGGAAGGAACCTCCATTTCAATTCATTTACAACTGGAATAAATTCTATGGCAAACATGATACATATGCAATGATTAGGTGCATCTCTCTGGTGCAAGATTAACAACATTGGCCAGTTTTGCTGAGTGAATTGTTGCTGAGTTGTATGATACTTTAAACTGATAAAAGATAAGGGAACTGAGAGAGTGTAGGACACAGAAAAGTGGCAGCACTAGGATAGAAGGAGCAAAAATTACTAAGATATCTTAGGAAAGCGTCCAAAAATATCAGTTAACGATAAAAACAAAGAAATTTGTGTACAAATAAAGAGTGACAGTGGAGAGAGACGAGGAAAACTCAACATCTATTATACAAATTGTAGGAGCACAAGAAATAAAATAGATGAGCTAAAGCTAATTGCATCTACAGAAAATATAGATGTTATTGCAGTAACACCTACCAGCTCGATGCCACATACTGGGATATAAATTATTCCTCACTGAAGACAGTCAACAGGAAAGTGGACGAGTTGATATATATGTTAGGGGAAATTTTAATTATAGGATCATAAATTATACACTGAGATAAGGACAGAAACAAATTCTACGTGACTTCAGTTTCTTGAAGGGCGTGAAAAAACTAATTTTATGCTTGAGCTACAGGTCACAAAACCCAGACAGCGACCTATGTAAATTTCTGTGGGACGAAATTACTAAACCGTCTAGGTACGACAATATCGTGTCAAAGGTAGATTGTAACTAGTCAAACTGACTGCAATCATCTGACGGGAAATTTTAGAGTCTAACGACTTTATAGACAAAGACCAGGATTGTTTTTCACAGCTATCGGCGTTGTATGACCCTTGTGGGTTTAGCGCTTAGTTCTGATAATAATAATTTTCATAACTATTTCTGACAGAGCTAACTAGAAGAAATAATCTCTTAGAAATGAACTTAAATGAGAAAACATCAGATTGGCGATCTGTTACCAGTAATGTCCCTCAGACTGGCGACCTGCTACCAGTAATGTCCCTCAGACTGGCGACCTGTTATTAGTAATGGCCCTCAGACTGGCGACCTGTTACCAGTAATGTCCCTCAGACTGGCGACCTGTTACCAGTAATGTCCCTCAGGAGGCCCGTTACCAGTAATTTTCCACAGGAGGTCAATATTGGCCCTAAAGCTGTTCATAATATACATAAACAACATACATGAAGGAACACATCAGAGACAGAAGGAAGTTTGACGATGACACTAACATGGGTCGTCAAATAAATTTTGATGAGGATAATAGAGCGCTCTAGGAAGCAAGGCCGGATTAAGGTATGGGATTTAGGGGTTGCAGACCAGGGGCCTACACCAGCTGGAGGGCCTCCAGCGGTTGCAGACCAGGGGCCTCCACCAGCTGGAGGGCCTCCAGCGGTTGCAGACCAGGGGCCTCCACCAGCTGGAGGGCCTCCAGCGGTTGCAGACCAGGGGCCTCCACCAGCTGAGGGCCTCCAGCGGTTGCAGACCAGGGGCCTCCACCAGCTGGAGGGCCTCCAGCGGTTTGCAGACCAGGGGCCTACACCAGCTGGAGGGCCTCCAGCGGTTGCAGACCAGGGGCCTCCACCAGCTGGAGGGCCTCCAGGGGTTACATCCCAGGGGCCTCCGCCTGCTGGAGGGCCTCCAGCGGTTGCACCCCCGGAGGCCTTGCAAT